TCTCTGACATTATCTCTCCTCTTCACACTGGGTGATTCGTTTGCGTTTGGATTGTGTTTTGTTATATACTGAGAAAAATCGGTAATTCAAACATTTTCACCATGTTTGTTTGTATCTATTATACTATGTCATTGATCATTTTTGAAGTACAGAGTAAAATGTGATGGCGGCCATGTTGAATTTCAATATGGCCGCTGTAATTATAATTGAGATTGTGTGTCTTGTTTTAATATGAGAGCTTATTAACCTGCGACAGTCTGCAATTTTTCACGTCTCTATATCTTCCCGTGAACGAAAAATTGCTAAGTTTGTAATTTTTATGGTGGCCATTTTGAATCAAGATGGCGTAGCAAAAAACGACTCTTTGATCACATACATCACCGGTTGTTGTATGAAATAGTTATATCTCTTCTATATATACTCTATGTGTAAAAGCTAACAATCATAGATATCATATAGGCCTATGCACGTATATATGATATCTATGCTATCAATATTGACATTATAAGTCTATGGCACTGGGTTGTATACATAGAAATAATATAGGTAGACTCTATAATTATATTTGTCTATTGCTGTATATAATAACATGTTATCAGGAGTAAGATAATATAGATATAGATAATATATAATATAGATCTATATTATCTTACTCCTGATGTTATTACATCCATATACAGCGATGCACCCCGTGGTCGCTATGCGTCAGCCAATAGCAATCCAACAAATCTCTCTCCAGCTGATGTTCTAGACTGGAGCTAATCACAGAAGCACAACATAAAGATGTTAAAATGAAATCCGTTCAGTTACCAACTATCGGAGACGCGGAAGTTACCATATTCGTAGATATAATATTATATATCTAATATTGAGTAACTTTAAATTATATTATATATTTTATAAACATTTAAAAGTTTGACTCAAGTGTTACCCATAAGTTTAGGTTAGCTTTATTTTTCGATAAGAGAATCGATAAATGTCTGCGTGTTCAGGAACTCCGATCGCAACGTTGGCGACGCTCTACGTTTCGGGGGGTAAATGCATTAGTGGCAACATGGCGGGCATCGCACACATATGTTTGTTTCTTATAAGCTTAGCTTTTATTTTAGCACAGTCTGCTGATGATCCAACTAAAAGATTTGAGTACAAGTACAGTTTTAAAGGTCCTTTCTTAGCACAAAAGGATGGAACTGTTCCATTTTGGGGACATGGAGGACGTAAGTTAATGTAGTCAAGTGAGTTAGTGACTTCCATGATCCAGCAGCTGATCAGGCAAATGAATAAATACCCGTTGTACTTGATCCATAGACCATACTTCATTAAACCGTTAAATTTCTCCCTAGAAGCCTTTTATAATATGACGCTATTGTAGGCCTTAATAGCTTTGCATGGATAAATTTGGTGAGTTTTTGTATGACAATAATTAATTAGAAAACTGGTACACAACATAAATGATTAATGTAACATATGTTTTACAGATGTTTACATAGAGTAGTCAGTGGAGTTAGACTAGGGGTTGTTTTAGTGATGCTGATAGGGCCTATGTCTCCCTGGGTACTGCCGGAACGTACCCTGGGAACGGTCCGGTATACCGGAACGTACTCTGGTAACTCTGATATGGTTAGGGAGTAGGCGTAGGCGACTCCCTAGACTCGATAGTGGAGTAGGCGAGGTACGGTCCGGCATATTAGATAGTATCAGGGTACGTTCCGGTATACCGGACCGTACCCAGGTTACGTTCCGGTAGTACCCAGGGAGACAGACCCTGGCAGCTTTAGTAATAGTCTATCTAGATACAGCGTCGTGCATTTTGTGTGGCCGCATTGATGTTACAGGGAATTGGATAAGCGTGTTTTAGGTTAGGCAGATTCTCGAGTCATTGTGAAATAGGGGTGCAGATCGAGTGTAGACATGGCGGGGGTTTTGGGGAAGACAGAGAGGTAGGAGTCGAGGATTCTGGTTGTGGTCGGGAGAGTAAGCACACGCGCTTACGTGCGGTGCGCGTTTCTTTGTTTCTTTGTGCAAGATGGACACACTGTGTGCGAGCATATATATTAAAGTTTATTCAGGTTACCACACAAGTTTGGATTTCTTCTTCATCATTTCTACACAAACTTTTAATTCAACGTTACATTTTGAAGCCAGTGACCAGTCCAAAACCTGGGTATTCCTTTGCGGGCGCAACGCAAGGTACTTCACTATATCGATCTACGGGCCAGCAACGAAACAGAGAATATTATCAATTTTCTTGATGAATGATCATAAAACATTTGCTATGCATTATTACTATTAGCTTCAGAAATATTTTTTTTCTTTGTATTCTGTATTGATCAAATACCAATCAATTGTCACAATATTAAAATTTCAAAACTTAATCAAAACAATTGTTGTTAACCTAATTTGTAATCTTTGTTGTCTCTTCACTCTTGCTTAAAATCGTGATGACGTGTTTTCTACCAACTAATGAAATCATCACTGGTCATGCAGTGGCAGTGCACTGAAATTAAGATTGTAAATCTGTTCTGGCAACAGACATTTCAAGTTTATAATTTGTGTCATACAAATATTCTCCACATTTGTGTATGGAAGGTTATACGTTGGGCTCTAGAATAGCGTCGGATTATACAAACTTCCGGGGCACAATTTATTTGTTTAGTACCACGTAGGCAGTATGAGCAGTACATACACTAAATGATAGTGATTGACCTAATTAAGTACCGGGAGCAGTAGAACAGTAATTATTTATAGCAAGCTTTGTCTGTAACATTGCAACCTATAGGTGTGTATAAGGAAATAAAGTTCTAACTAGACCTAGGTTTTCCTAGCAGGCCTTGTACTAGTAGCTCTTGCCCTAGCAGTCTACAGTCTATGTTGCTCGGCATTACGTGTAATTTAGAGTGTTGAAAGGTATAATTCTAGAGCTAGCTAGATTGCATAATGATGGCAATTGGCCAATTATATGATTCAATTCATTTTTATCTGGTTAAAATACCTAATAATGTAATAGAATGGGTATCTAAAATTCATCATTATAGTTCTGATAATAAATAAATTAAGTTAAGTTAATAAGTTACTTAACTAAGTTCATTCGGTTGGTAGACTAATATATATAACAGGGTTAATTTGTACTCGACCGTGAATATTGGAAACGTACCGCTAACGTTTCGCCTCCAGCCAGGAGGCTTTCTCAAAGCAAACTGATCAATGATAACTGATGATAACAGTTTTGACCACCAGATGGTGTGGTGGTCAATAGCTTAGTCCACACGCGACTAAGCCTGTATCCCCCCTCGTTCCGGTTGATGTTTTGAGTTCTGAGGTTGTTGTGGCTAAACCTAGTTACACCCATCTTTGCATCCATTTTTTTCATGCAAAACCTAACAAGATCTGCTATACCCAAGTAAAGCTTGGTATTCCCTTGTTTAATGAAACTTATTCGTATTCCTTGATCATCCGAGCCTCATCGCTGCTTTTGACGTGTATTCTTCAAAGATGCCTTGAAGTTTAGCTTTTTTGTTTCTGTCATTCCAGATTAGAATTGTCTGTCTTCTATGTTTAACCATGAAATGGAAACATTTTATTACAATCCACAGTGTTGATCCATCATTTTGGTCAGCTTTGTTTCTCTCGATCTTTGGTATAGTTGTTTGGACTTTGAAGGCTAATCCTTATCAGGTTACAAGGTTATGAGGAAATATTTTCTCCTGTAATATGTTGTGTAGATCTGGCCATTTATAAATAATTTAAAAAAGCTGCACTGGATGGCAGCATATCTGATAATCAGATCTGATAATTATATTGATTGTTATTAATATTGCATTTTATAAAAACAAATTTCAGATGCCATAGCTAGTGAAGATCAAGTCAGGATTACACCATCAATTAGAAGCCAAAAAGGTATGGAATAATTTTGTGAAATTTCCTTTATGGATTGACATCAACAATTATTACTCCTGTTAAAAAGTTCTACATTTCCCTGATGAAAAGTTGTCATAAATGCCCATAGGCAAACAAGGCTTGTGAAGTGACGAATGTAGTTTGCAAAATATAAACAAACTGTCATGACCATTGTTCAAAATTTACTTGAGCATGCTCAGGTGCCCTAGTCTAGTTGAATTTTTTAAGGCAGTTTTGTACAACAATGAAATATACCGTTTTCTAAAATACCTCATAATAAACTAGCATTGAGAAAACAATAACCTTTCAGCCAAACCTACCTTTATTGAGAGATATTAGCAAAGTTATAAGAATTTCCACTTAATTATGTCCTATATTGCATGCCCTAAAGGTGCACAGATTTATATGCATAGAAGTCGAGTCGCACAGAGCCGCTGTGTCAATATTATTCTGCACAAAAGTGTGGGATGGTTTTTCCAATGTAAACATCGGAATGCAAGGTTGAATCAAAGAAAGCTTGTTTTGATGCAAAGCATTTTTATGCACAAAATGCTTGCATAGAACACTACTTTGAGTAGATGCATTGTAGATTTCGGAAGAAAGCAGATTTAATAATAGAGCACGATGTATGGGTGAGTGCGTGTGTGTGCACAAATGAGAAAGAGAGCGAAAAAGAGAGATGTCGGGTGCGGGGAGGGTGGGGGAGAAAGAGAGAGAGAGTTAGAAATGGAAAACAGAAAGAACGAGGCATCAGCGACAGGAAGAGAGTTGCAGACCAGTGACCTTTCCTTAATATGTGTGATTGTGTGAGCTCACAAGGTAGTAGTCTAGTGTAATTTGAATAACATTTTAGTATTTAAATTTCAATTGGAATTTGTCATGCCTTATTCGTGAACAGTGTCACATAAATATGTTCTGTTTCTTATTGTTTCGACTAGGTTACATGTGGACAAATACACCGTTTCAGGCGGATCACTGGGAGATTGAAGTAACGATAAGAATAAATGGTCGAGGCAGAATCGGAGCAGATGGGATGGTAAGTTGTTTTTTTGCCTCAGTTATGTGCATGCCATATCTAAGTACATGAGTAGCAGCTGGCCTGTATCTGTGAGCAGTACTTATCTTTTGTGATAAAGCGGAAATGACTTATCCCTGTCAAGGGACCAGATGGTGTATGATGTTCAGGTGCAACAGGTGCGGTCAAAGGTAAGTTAGTTTACCTGTCTGGTGAATACCTGGGGTTATACCCAGGGCTGAATTAACACTAGTTAACATTCTGTTAACTTGTGTGTTTTAATGTTAATACTTTCCCCTAGAATTTTATAGTACATTATGATAGTAAATGCATAAATAATAGCATATACCTCAAAATTTTTATAATCACATTCACGTTTGTCATAAAACAACATTGCATTTCGAAATCTTTATTTTTGGGGGCTGACATGACACCCGCGATTTGTGCTGCCACCCTGGAAAAGTTGTGCATTTGCCAATTTATTTTGCACATTACAGACCGAGGGCTAATCACAAAAGTGCAATTATATTTATACCTAAATGATATTTAACCAAACTATGGTTATTTTTAAGACAAATTCGTCCATGTTATAACTGAAACTAATTAAGTGTCATTTCTAAGATATTGTTATCCTCTGCTCTTTTAATAAATAAGAAACACCCTCAGTCTGCCGCTAGCAGCCGAAACGTTGCTTTGCGCAACTTTTTCAGTGAATGTGCTTCCAGTGGCGCCACCGTTGTTGTAAGCAACGGTATAGCCATCAGTTTTAAAACATTAAAAAAAAATATTTCTAATGAATATTGAACCATAAAACTTTTCATGTAGTGTAATTTTAACCTATTTCAACTGAAAATATCTAAATTTATGAATTTATATCTGAATTTATCCCTTTAAAGATTTATTATTACTTATTATTTCATATTTATAATATATAGTAGAGTAGTAATTCATATAATGTACATGTGCGTGTGCATGCGTGCTTGTGCTGAATGGAAATTACTGATACATACGAAAAATCGTATGCTAATCTTTAAGCAAATTTCGAAATTTCTGATAACTTTTTTGCTTATTAAAATAAACTTGTATGTATTTTAGGCAATCTGGTTCACAGAACAGAAGGGAGTTGAAGGTCCTGTGTTTGGCAACAATGATCAGTGGCGAGGCCTCGGTGTGTTTATGGATTCATTTGACAACGATGGGCAGGTAAGTGTGGAGAGAAATTGTAATGTTGTGTTATATCTCGCGTGCGCCAGATCTGTTGTACTTTCAGTATTGTTCAGCATTCTGTATAATTTTGTTGTCATTGCTAGCAATCATACATTAGCTGCTTACACATTCAAATTCATTTATTGCCCAAAACTGCAAGATTCACAGATTATGATGGTTAATTACTTAAAATAAAAATATTAAAAATAAAAATATTCCATTAACATGTGTTTATACTAATACTAACTGTAACTAACTCAATAACTACCTAACAAACTAAGAGTAGGCCTAATATAAAAATAACTAACCTGGTTTTTGACTAAGTTGCAAAAGTTTTATATGTTATTATATAACATAATATTAAAGTTCTATTTATATTATGTGTCATTTCCTCTTTTCAGATGCAGTGTTGTACACATAATTATCGAATGGGCGTATTATATACTGTGTTATGAAATATGTGACTATGCAATCATAAGATTGTTATACATGTTATATAGGTTTATTAAACTTATGTAAAGCGGGGGACACACCATGCGAATTTATTCGCATGTCCACAGCGATTGTAAAATCGCAGCGAAATTCGCATGGTGTGTCCGCTCAAGCGCGGGCGAATTTCGCTGCGAATTTCATACGCACCGAAATTCACAGCGATCAAACATGTTTATATGGCATATAAGCCACATATGTATATAATGGCCTATATCGAGCTTGTGAAAAAGGACGGGTACCAGTCTAGTGCGAATAATGGCCGATTGTTATAATGCAGCGAATCATTGATCAGTATGCTAACCACGTGACCACATGACTGTTGGAGCCATGTTGGAGCCGTGTGGCGCCAGTAGATCGCGTGTAGTGTGGCGCCAGTAGATCGCGTGTAGTGTGTACGCTGCGGACGTGCGAATAAATTTGCATGGTGTGTCCGCCCAATTATCGCATGCGGGTGCGAATGTTTTCGCCGCGATTTTCGCTGTGGATACATGATCGCCGCGGACGTGCGAATAAATTTGCATGGTGTGTCCCAGGCTTAAGTAAAGGTGTTTGTAATTGCTGAAATATCTCTCTCAGGAAAGATTTTCTCTTAGAAAGCTAAATGTTTGGCATCATGTAATAAAGGGAAATTTATCTACAGGGGTGCTACCATGTGCGCATGTCCGCTTACCTTGAAAAGGGTGCAGTTTTGCATAGCGATCCTTTCCTATGCATAGGTCGTGGCTGTTAAATAACACATTTTATATTCATATAAATTGTAGTTTATGAAAATGCTCACCATTTTAGTAATTGTCACAGTTTTTGTGAAGCAGTTATGTGGGTGAAATGTCTTAGCCACATGCTTGCCATGCAAAAATATCTCTAAAAGCTGTTATGAACATCGATTCCAGCACAACAATCCATATGTACTGGCGATGATTAATGACGGCACGAAGACGTACGATCACCACTCGGATGGCTTCTCACAGCAGCTCGGAGGCTGTCTGCGTGACTTTAGAAACAAGCCATTCCCAACGAAACTCAAAGTCACCTACTACAAGAACACGCTGGTGGTACGTTTCGAGTGCAACGAACATGGATAGTGTCACTTCTCCGTTCCTATCTCAGCTCTGTTCTATCTCTGAGAGAAAAATACCCATGTGTAATGCAAATGATGCGGGTTTTGCCCAGGAATTTCATAAGCGATGTTGTTTATGGTTTATGGACGGATGGGAGGGGGGTTGTACCAATTAGAATCAATTACGTGTGTCATAAGCATCCCCATTACATCTGTAAACTCAATCAGTTTGGAGACATATATGTCAAGTGCATAGCATGACTATGTTGGGTTTTTCAAATGTAAACATGTGCAATTAGCGTATTTCGAATTGGTAACTAGGTCGCGTGGGACCCTCCAAGCATTAAAACCCTGAGGAGAACCCTGTGATGTGAATGACCCATGGCACAAATCCCACCTATAAACTCCACTACTCTCCCGAAACAGACGCTCGATTATGCGCGTGAGGTTGCTCGTCCACGAACGCGGCGGCACTAGCATGTTGTGTCTCTCTCGTCACCGCAGGTGCTGTATCACAACGGCCTGACGAACAAGCCGGACGACTACGAGCTGTGTCTGAGAGCCGACAACGTGCAGCTGCCGACGTCCGGCCACTTTGGCGTGTCGGCGGCGACGGGAGGTCTCGCGGACGACCACGACGTTCTCTCCTTCCTCACGTTCACACTGATTCCACCTAATGAGGGGGTACGCATCGCAATTAGCGCTGTCTCTTGCTCGCGGCGTCAATTCATTTTTTTACTTTGTTTAGGGTTTGGTGGAAATTCTACTTGGCCGAATGTTGGACACTATAATGGTTCCGTGACTAAACGTTGGTAAATCAGAACATGTTCGCTTCTCCAGCTCATTGCATGCGACTGCTTGATTGGCTAAATTTTATGTTTACGTTATCAATTAGTTAAAAGTATAACGAGCTGTAAACTTTTCACCATGTGAACTCGGTTTTACAATGTTTGAGGTGAGATTTCCCAAAAGCAGTTGCCATGGTGTGGAACGATGGTCATGCTGGCTGTGATTGCAGATTAATCAGGATGGCTTCGCCACGGATCAGGAGAGGCTGCGTTACCAACAGGAGTACCAGGACTACCAGCAGAAGCTGGAGCAGCAGAAGCAGGATTACCGGCAGCAGCATCCGGACAAGCAGCAGCTTGATGATTGGAACGTGGATGACATTGTATGTCTTCCTCTTAGTCCTCCCCCTCCTATTCTTTTCTATTCCTGATTTTTTCTTTCTTCTTATTTGTTCCCTTCATTTTTTTCCTTCTCCTTGTTTTAGTTCTTTCTTCCTACACCTCTATTACATAACCCTTCCATTCCTGCTTGTTTCCATCCTACTCCCTCCTTCCTATTCATAAATTTGCTACTACTCCTTCCGTTTTACTCTATCTGCTCATATTTCTTACCTACCTTGTAATCCTTGCTTGCCACCAACTCCTCATTTCCTTCGTGATTCTACCTTCTGTTGCCTTTCTTCCTCTTCATGCTCCTCCTTTAACTGATCCCTCTGTTGTTCACTCTGTTTATGCTCCCTGACCTCCTTTCCACGTTCACTCGCCACTGGCCATCAGTCATTGTCCTTCTCTCCTTTCTAAGCAACCCCATGCGCTGCTCGATGTGTAATGACCGACCGTTCTCTCTGTTGGCTGCAGTTTGAGGCTCGTGAGAACCGGGAGCTGAGGCAGATCTTCGACGGGCAGACGCAGATTCACGACACGATGCGCAAGCTTCATCACAAGCTCGACGCCGTGCTCGGCAGACAGGAGAGCCTCATGGCGATGGTGTCGGGCCTCGGTGGCGCAGGTAATGTCACGCGGCGCCCCCTGGCATGAGCTGCGAGGGCCGGCGGTTCGTTTATTTTCGCGCGGAGACCGCGAGTTGTGAATGTCCAGTGCACGGACGACCCTGCTTTATGATGTTTGTGCTAACGAATTGGAATGCAGAATATAAAATGAAATACAATCTTCTAGAACCAATTGACCTATTTGTCCGAGAGAGAAAACCATGCTTCATTGGATATTAGTGTTACACTTGTCAAGCTAGCCCAGTTTGTACTCGTTTTTCCCACGTGCAACACCAAAATGTCAACTACGTGATACTACATTGCCAAGCATTTTCTTTGGAACATTCTATCTCAACAACCATTGGTTATGGGTAATGAAGTGATAGAAAGCCCAACTAAAAATTAGATAATGCATTCGACTTGAGGAGTGGTGGAGGTACAGTCAACTCTCCCAATACCAATCACATTAATTTTGGGACCGTCCATTCAATTTGGTTTTTCTGTGAAGCTTGGTTTATAGATCTTAGATAGTGTTGGGACTTAAAAAATCATCCCGTTTAATGTGAGATCCAGTTTTGAGGGCGGTCGGAATTTGAAGAGTTGACCGTAGATATGCATTTATTGAATATGGTGAGCTTCTACCTGATAGTAACGAGTATCATATATAATATTTGTTGCAATTGTGATAAGAAGGATTGCGTTCATTCTTGTCCTATCGTAGTTGTTTTGATATTATACAGTTCAGCCAGGAGTGCCACATCAGGGTGGGGGTCCCCCTGTCATGATAGACTCTATCAAACGACATGAAGTGGATGCTATTATGACAACTCAGAGAGAAGCTGTGAATTCCATACAGCAGCTAAGGTGAGACTTGATTTGATTTGATCGTGACTTGTAGATTTTTTATGGTCGGATGCATCCGGTTGAATTCATGAAGTACATGAAGTGATGAGTGAGTGAACTGAGTGTACACGAGTGGCATGTGTCCGCGGTGACAATGTCAGTTTGTTCTCGTATATTTAGTAGCCATTAACAGCAGAAATGTTGCCATTGCACTAACTGTATTATGGAGAACCAGCTCTTGATGTCGAGATTTTGTTCTGTAGGCAAGCCATCTCGGATGTACAGCAGCGAATACCTAATGTTGGGGGAGCTGGTCAGCCTTCGGACAGTGGTTCGCTGGACAGCGGTCACCACCAGGTGTTGTCCGAGATTCGGGAAGGAGTATCTGTAGTGAAGCGAGATCTGTCTGCGATGTCACAGCGAGGGGTGAGATTAACATATACAGATGTGCTACGTAAATCACGTAGACTACGAAGATCGCTGGCTAGATGATTTAGTGGTCTTTTCCGATCCTATTTACATCTGACTAATATCTACGGTGTAATTAATGCATTAGGCAAATTATGGTCTTAAGTAAATCCTTTGATTTAAGAATCAGTTTGCAAACACGTAAATAAACCCAGTTTAGGTAATGGCTTTTGCAAGTTAGTCCAAGTGTTAACCAGTCGGTTTTACCCCCGCTCAGTGTTTAGGTATCATTGGTAGACATTTTGTATTAGAGCATTGCAGAATTCTGCACAGGTCGACTATGCCCACATCTGTTTTCTTCTCACATTCCAGGGAGCACAGTGTCCTCCACAACCTGACATGCCAAATTGTCTGACTCCAACATACTTTTTCATCATGATAGCGGGGCATTTCTTCCTGTTAGTCGGATACTTTATGTACAGGTACGGAAGGTATTACCTAACTATGGCAATTTTCTTACAACTCGCAAACACAAAGTGTTCAGTGAACCTAGAATGGAATAGGGTCTGTAACATGCTTAATGTATATGAACCCTTATATTAATTGTATACGTATGTGTGTCTGCATCCACACGTGCACAGAAAGGTTATTGTAATACGTTTTAGATGCATTCCTGGAAAATGTGACGATGCAATAACTCCAGTTAGAACGTCTACGTAAACCACGCGTGTGTATAGCAAAGCAATTACGAATTAATGACGTGTATCACTCTGAGGATTGTATTTAATCGGGGACGTTCAACAAGGTTAAATAGGGTGATGCATAACGAGAGCTGAATGTACTAATATTAAAAACGTTCTTCTACAATCTTTTGCTGATCCCTCAATAAAGTGTAACTGGTTAGTGGTAGATTAATCGTAGAATTCTTCGCCAATTGTTTTTAACTTTTTTTTCCAGAAACAGTCAAGAAGCGAAAGCAAAGAAATTCTTCTAACTTACAACTTACGAAGGTCATAAAAAACTAGCCAATTGTCTATTTAAGGATACAAAAACTTTGCTGTATTCAAAAGTGACTAAAAGTGATTGATTTCATTCCAATGATGATAACTTAAATTTAAATTAGCTATAACTTAAAATAATACTTGGGATAGTCATGTTGGTTGGTGGAGGTGTGGATTGCAAAATCGTATGCAAGGAATCTCCAACATAATTTGCCCATCCAGAAAGTTCCATTGACAGACTTTCGAATACGTCACGTATGATGTAAGAATATCTGACACCTTTCTGTAGTTTCTTCATGTATTGGTTGCATAGGGATGCTGAAAAGTAATGGAGGCTGTGAATTCTACTGTCAGCAACTGTTAATTGCGGCGCACACTCACAGTTGCATCGCTAAGAGTTGTTAGGATGGCTAAATCAGCAATCCACGCCCCGAATGCTACTGACAATCGAATGCTTGCATACGGGTGTGACTGTTACACCAGTGTAGCAGTTGAACCCCCTCACCCTGCATTTGCATATTAGTCTTCTCCAGTAGAGCCTCCAGTTTCCGCTTCGCCTACGAGACCTGTGCTGGAAGTTGAGCTTTCTATCCACTAGATGTCACTACAGAGACACACAATGCTATCCAGTGTCGATGTTGCATCTGACGTTGATGTCAGTGTTCTATGTTGCTGTATATTGGCTCAGGGTGTCTTATTATGTAATGTTCCAAGCTGCTCATTTATGAAAGTTATTTCACTATGGTAAGATGTTTTGCTAGCAGCGGAGTGTGAGATATGCGTGGAAGATGAATGCATTTTGCAAGTGGATGTCAGATTGTTGCAAAGTTGGTCTTGCAGTTGGACTGTATTCACCCCTGCAATATGTCCGTTTACCTATTTATTAAGAGAGTAAGAATTTGATAGTATCTTTACTATGGGCTAAACCAAATGACTTTATTCAATTAGCCTTTGTGCATAGTTCTGTTTATAATATAGGTGAGTATGTTGTTAGTAAGAGGAAAGTAAAAAGGTAAGAAGTTAAGTAGCTGATTGGCTATGCACAGATAGCTTCTTTGTGTTACTTAGCTAGGAAATGGCTATTTTCGTAACAATGTTTTTTTTCTGCATATTTTGCAGGATCTGTGTTTTCTGTAAATGCTACATGTGTAATGGTAAATTTCTCTGATATCGTTGAAATACGAGAAATGTGGCTTCAATCATGCCTTTACATTCGTAGGCTGCATTTAGTGAATCGTTGTTATTAGTTTGTAAGAGCCTGTAAAGCTGACATCTCTCGTTCGCGCATCAGTGCGGCACGTACATCATTGATACACGAAGTCATTCCAATAGCATTGAAGAAATGTATGTACACGACATTTTCTTAAAGTTATGTAACAGTGTTGTAGTGATTTCTCAGCTGCTCTGTGCGATTATTTCATTCAGCTAGCATTGTTAGCATTCATGGTCAATACAGCGACCCCAAACAATCTCTAACCCACCAACAGTCACTAGTGACCATACACGATATTATGTGACCCACCAACGGTCACTAGTGGCCATACACAAGATCTGACCCACCAACGGTCACTAGTGACCATACACGATATCTGACCCACCAACTGCCACTAGTGACCATACGCGATATCTAACTCACCAACTGTCACTAGTGACCATACGCGATATCTGACCCACCAACTGTCACTAGTGACCTATCTGACCCACCAACTGTCACTAGTGACCTATCTGACCCACCAACTGTCACTAGTGACCATACACGATATCTGTCATAATGGTGACCCTGAGTGACCTCTGACACACTGACAGTCACTATAGCTGCGTTCACACGAGGCTTTTAGTTCCGTATTTAAGCGTTCACACGCTAAATTATACGCGGCTTGCTTAGCCGCGATTGCTCCGGCTTGCTTAGCGCGGAATCATATTCCGCGCCAACTAAGCCGCGTATATTCGGCACGTATTGTTTGTCGTGTGAACGCATTCGAATTGCGAAACTGTAGCGCGCTAACCTAGACTGCTACCCGTTCGCTGCACGACGTTAGTGTAGCGCGTGGAACTGTCGACCGGGTACTAGTCTATATTATACCTAGCTAGCTAAGCCTCGAATCTCGTGTATCTCGTGTGAACGCATTTTAACCGAACTTAGCACCAACTAAGTACGGTACCAGCTAGGCCGTGTATACGTGTGAACGCAGCTTATAGTAGAGGCTTATGCAACCATGCTGTCATTGTTTGGTTTAGTTCTCATTGTGCATAATGTTTTTGGAACGAAGTTGCAATCATCAGCAGCTCAACAATCAGTCCCGTACGGCTTCTGCCATGCTATCTCGCTCCAGCTTTATTTCATCATCTGCATTGGTGCCAACGTGTGCAGTGCATGTATACATATGGGTAAATTGTGTTAGCGTACGGTGCTGTTGCTTTTTTGATCGGGATCTTACAGAAATTATGTCAACCGGTGAATAAGTATGATATAATTTTGTATCTGTATTAAAAGTGGTGTTACAATTTTACGAGTTTCTGTAATATGTTAGCCTGTTAGGGAAATCCATTTTTGCATCACATTTGTGTGGTGCTTAATAATAACGTCCATGTACGCACATATTCGACAAAGAAATGAATGAAAGTGTCAATGACGCTATAGCTCACCTTGGGTATGATAGAAGAGGGAGATGATATTTAAAATGTGGTAAGTGTTTCATTTATGACGGGCCAACATGTGATCAAATGTCGTTATTCCCTGTGTTATACTAATACAAATTTCACTGTTTTGTTTCAGGGTTAGTTTTAATGCGAAAAGAAATGTTTCAGATCTGAAAGTCTGGAACCTGGGCGAGAGATGGCGCTACACCTAAATGATCGCCATTTTGGTTTTCGATTATCGCGCAAATAAAAGTAATAAAATATTCCAGTCAAATTACTGTAACAAAGAATCTAAAACACAATATTACACGTAGGTATGATTAGGTAGGTAGGTAGGTAAATTTAACGAAATCGAATGAATCTAGATGGCCATTTTCATTTTTTCCAAAAAGTGAGCGTGGCTCGAAAGTAGGTCGAATGGTATGCTCCAAAATAGGACGTTCAAATCTCTCCCATAGGAGTAACAACTGTATGCAGTTTGAAACATGTGGGTCAAACGGTTCTTGAGTTATCGTTGACCGTAGGCAGACACTGAAATGCATAGTGGAATTGCTAAAATCTACCTAATTTGCATAATTTAAAAAATATCAAAATCCATGTGATGTTTGGGGGCCAGTCCTTATTTATTCACATACCAAAAATGAGCAAAATCCGTTGAACCTGAACTGACTTATGGCCATTTCCATTTTTGCCAAAGTGGGTGTGGCTCGAAAGTAGGTCAACTGGCATGCTCCAAAATAGGACGTTCAAATCTCTCCCATAGGAGTAACAACTGTATGCAATTTGAAACATGTGGGTCAAACGGTTCTAAAGTTATCGTTCACCATAGCCAAATGTTGACGGACGGACGGAATGTCATTTTTAGCTCACCTTGACATCGTCAAGCTGAGCTATTGCCATGGGTCGTCGTCCGTCGTACGTCCGTCAACATTTCGCTACGGTTAACGATAACTCAGGAACCGTTTGGCCCACATGTTTGAAATTGGGTATAGTTGTTACTGCTATGCTCCCATATTAAACGTCCTATTTTGAAGCACGCCAGTCGACGTACTTTCAAGCCACGGCAATTTTTTGGCAAAAATGGGAATTGGCATTAGTCAGTTCAGGTTCAACGGATTTTGCTCATTTTTGGTATGTGAATGAAGGGCTAGGGGTTTTGATATTTAAAAAAAAATTATGCAAATTAGGTAGGGTTTGGCAATTATATAGCATATTATATAGACACAAACAGTGTGGTGTCACACTCGTCTGGTTCGTTTTACAAGATTTCATTGACAATATCTTTAATGCAAAATTGGTATTTCCTCTCCACCCTGCCGATAAAACGTCTATATTAGAGTAAAGTTTTACAAAACATGTCGGAACGCAGCATAACCTATTTATTTCATACGCCATCGCTACAAAGTCCTTTTTTGTGGTGAGCTACAGTGTCATTGACACTTTCATATATTGTACAATTAGTGTGAATGCAATTAGAAAAGTGCAATAACATATAGCTCTACCCGTGTAGACCATAGACACCAACGTGCCACCAAACTCTTTCCACAAATGTTGTATAATCAAACGTTTTAATATCCAGTTTATCAAATCAAAGAAGTCAAGTTAATATTAGGCAAAGATACTTTCTGACTGTGGTTTATTATATGCTTTATTATTAAACAATTATACAATTCAACAAGCTTCTCTTGTATGTATCAAGAGGAATGGTGATCACAATGTGTTACTACTAATATCATAACACATTAATTACATTAATATATAACGTTAACTATTATGATCTCGTTCAATTACGCAGCCTTAATAATCAAACATTAGCACATGTATATATGCAACTAGTCTGACCAACTGCTAGAGCAGATACCGCTGCATAACAAATAATATTTTAAATCTAAAAGGTTCCATCACTTAACACAGAATGTTTTGAAGCAAAATTAGCAGTAATTTGGACTATATTTGTAGACGTATTAAAAACCAATGGAACCAAAAATACTATTGTTCGAAATCTCAGATATGTCACCAAAACATGCTGCCAACTTCCTTCATTATGGCACTAAAACATAGATTCCTAGGTGTCAATCACCTCATTGTATGTGGCCAGCCTCTCTCAGTTTGCTTACCAACTGCTCGGCGTTTTCAATGATCACTCCAGCTTGTCGCACTGGGGGCTCCTCCACTTTCAAAACCTCCACATGCTGCGTGATATCCACGCCAAGGTCAGCTGGTTTCTTTTTGTCTATCTTCTTCTTTTTTGCTTTCTGTAAAGCGATATTGAGGCACAAGTGAGATGTGGGTGAGATACGAGTGAGATATGAGACAGACACAAGTGAGATATGAATGAGAGACAATGAGATATGAGCAAAATATTGCAACATGAGACAAATATCAATGGGATATGAGTGAGAACTCTGAAGTACGAGTGAGACACCAGTGATATATAATGATATATAACTGAAATATGAGCATGGCACCAGTGGTATAGCGTATAGCTTGAGATTTTTCCATGTAGGTTATACCAAGGCAGTTGGAGACTTAAGAACACAAATGCAGTGTCACTTTTCTTCAATATTTAAATGGTTTTGGTACAGGAGGTAAGATTGAGGATCTACTTTTCTCATTGTCTCTCAAATTAAAATCTAGTTACAGGGTTCGAAATCCTAACGGGCCCGCGGGCCCGATGCCCATATTTTAAGGCTTGGGCCTGCATTTCTAATAATAGCAGGCCCGCCGGGCCCTTAGAAAATCCACACCCAGCATGCAACTAGCAGCATGCACTAGTGATCTCAGCGCCGGATTCAAGAAGAAATGCGTACGCACTTGGCGTATGCACAAGTGCGTACGCAGAAGATTTAGAACACCTCACGCACAACTTTAGTTGGCATTCAAGAAACGTGTGTGGGATGTTCGGACGCACAGGTTCCTGAATCCAAACTATACTAGCAGCGTTGGCATACCAAAAAATCGATAAGAAGTGGGTGTAGCTTACTTTTGGCCAGTGGCAGTGAACCTTACATTGTGTTGGCCAGGGTTTATTTACGTGCACGTGTTACGCCCGTTCATCATGTAAGTAAACAGCATTAAATAACAGAGAAAATGCGCTAAATTGACGACCCAGCAGCAGGACAAACCAACAAGAATGCCATCTTTTCTAGTAGAGCGCCACGCATGCGCACCGTTTAATACAAACATAAAATACATGGATGGTACATTTCGTACATTAGAAATAGTATATTAAAAATCATATCTTATCCACACACGGATAGTGCGGCACGCTCACTGTTCACGTGCGCTAGGTTGTCAGGTTGTGGAGTAATTCGATACTATGATATGTGATTGATGAACGTGGGGTTATTACCTAGGATCTGGGGGTGATCACGGCCAATCGAGTATTAGGATATATACATGTTTTTACTGGACATTTGGGTTAACACTATGGGGCGTAGTTCCACTAAATTAGCCTATATGGCTTCTTACCATGATGTTCGGCAATGTAGCATATCTTGGTTCGTTCAAACGCAGATCAGTTGATAGCACTGCTGGCAACTTGACCTTTATTGTCTCCAGGCCTCCATCCACCTCTCTAGTCACCAGCAAATCACCGTTTGTCTTCTCAATCTTGGAGGCAAAAGTCGCCTGGATGTTGTAGGTATCAGTAGAATAAAACCCATGTCATTACCTTTCGACATTTATACACGTTCTACATAACTACACAAGGTCAGCAAGGAGCTGCATGAACATGTGTTTTCTAAGATGGACTTCGATACTGAGTTATCTACAGAATGTCAATAACTAAGATACGATAGTGGGAAAAGGAGGGGAACCAGACTGACTGTCAAACTGTTATCTTGAAACAGTATGCCTGTGATTCATGTATACCTGTGGCCAATCCAGAAAAGCAGCTGTCATTTGAGCAGTTTGATTGCAGTCATCATCAATAGCCTGTATAAGAATGTGATGATGAACGGTAAAGTCATAGCATAAGGCATATACAGGCATAAGCTGTTACTCATGAATGTAAATAAAGCAATAGAATCATAAAATGTAGCTCACCTAATAAGGATATAATTGAATATAATAAAAAATGTATGGAATCCATGTTTGCATTCATTATAATATGATTCATTAAAAACCAATTTACTTTAAACTTGGCAAAGGTATGACATGAGGAATACAAGGATATATATATATAAACTAACAAGAAACAATGTTCAACTTTTAAAATAGACACTTGCTAAGCCAACAATACCTGCTTCCCAACAATGATCATGCTAGCCTCTTCTTGCGCTGCAAGTTTTGCTAATATCTTGGAAACATGTATTGGCTGTAGTGAGGCATATTCTTCATCAGGAACTTCAATATGAATTCCTCTGTCAGCTCCCATAGCGAGAGCTGTGCGTAGAACCTCCTGCAAGTAATACCAATCAAACGTTTCCATACTCCAATTTTTTGCTACAATGTGCATTAATTTATATGTGTTTAACAAATTTAACGATGCCCATACAGCAAAGTTCTATTCCGCTACATCCGTAAATATCATCACAGGCAGATTACGCTGCGTAACACGTAGGCTGCTATCTGCAATATGCAGGAACTTTTTATTTTATCCAAACAAATACAGTATGAAAGGATAGGGGTTAAAGAATGCACTCATACCTGACACTTTGGTGGTCCACATGATACAGCTACGATTTCTGTAGCAATTTTCTTCTCCTTCAATCTAACTGCTTCTTCAATTGCTATCTCATCAAATGGATTTAGACTGTGCTTCACTCCGTCAGTGACCACACCTGTTTTGTCAGGCTTCACTCTGACCTGCAACAAGAAAGGGAACTTAATTGTCCAAACTCTAAAATAGAAATTTTATAGCGAATACGGTTGAGCCGAATCTGAATTTTGAAATTCCGGCCGGAACTAGAACTTTAGCTTGAAATAAAAATGACAATGTACAACACCAAATGTTATAGTTCACAAAATTACCTGACCTAAACATAATAGCACTAGCAGGCACATCATTCAGGTGTTCATGTCAATGCTTAAAGTTCTAATTACAAGATGGTTGTTAGGTAAATGAGTCAGCTGTTTCCAGTGTAAGACAGTATTTCCGTCATGACAATATAGGTTGACTAAGACCCAGACTGAAATGTACATGATATTCTAATCCTAGCACACAACCAACTAGACAGAGGGCACTCACGGAGAGTGCATACCTCCGCCAGCGACATAGCTCGTAGCAACCGCTCGTTGCTGCTGCTCGCTCACATGTACACGCTTGCTGGCTTGCTGCCCACTCGCTCGTAGCAGCCGCTCGTTGCTGCTGCTCGCTCACATGTACACGCTCGACTCGACGCGCTAATATCGATCGCGCCAACACACTAACACTGACTGGCCTGCTGCTGGCTACACGAATGCACAAGACCAATCACACAAACATTAGATAGTATAATATACTATATATTTATGTGTCAGTGTGCAGCGGCAGTCAGCGTTTGTTGCAGATGAGCATTTGGATGGCATTTACAGGAAATTGTCGACAATAATATGTGAAAGAGAGTATAGAAACATTAAGACTTTGGTAGTAAATAGATACGAAGTGATTATTTCCCCGGCAAGCCGGACAACTAAGCCAAGAAATCAAACTAGCTTCTCTGCAAAAGGCAGACTATGCTGCCAAACTCCATGCCGGATAAACAAGCGCCCATTTCATTACTCATGCCGAAGCGCCATGCTACCACATGGCAAACTGCTCACAGTGTAAGTTCTCTCTGCCAGGTGCCTAATACAGCGGCGGCGGGACACTTCGGTCTGCCAGAGAATTTAACTATGATTTTCAGCACTGCTTCTACGGCAAAGCCACAGAAGCGGCTAGTGCTAAAAACGTACACTTGTTTCTCCGGCGCCGGAGATCTAACAAGAAAATTTGTTCTTAATTCTCCGGCGGCCGGAGAACTAACGATGGTTTTCACCACTGCTTCTCCGGCTGCCGGAGAAATAATACCAGCCAAATAGATATCGTATTTATTTAGCATTATAATTTATATTTTAATAGAAAATTAGAAACACTGCAACTCCAACTTCAAAGTTCAAGTTGAAGTGGCAGCACTATGGTATGGTACTATGCTAGGCATGCTATGCTATGCTATGCTAGGCTATAGCTAGGCTATGCTAGGCTCTATGCCTGCCTCTAGGTTGGCAGGCATAGTCGATGCCTGTCTCTATGGCTAGGCCTCGATGCCTGTCTCTATGCTAACAGGCCTCGACCTCAGGCTATGTTGACAGGCCTCGATGCCTGTCTCTATGCTAGGCTCTATGCCTGCCTGCTCTATGCCTGCCTCTAGGCCTCTATGGTAGGCTCTAGGCTATGCTAGGCTCTAGGCTATGCTAGGCTCTATGCTAGGCTATGCCATGCTAGGCTATGCTATGCTATGGTACTATGCTAAGCTATGGTACTATCACTATGCCTAGTACCAGTGCCAGTGGCAGTGGTCAAAATCGTCTTCGAAATCGAAGCAACATAGAAAATCACCGCTCAATTTTTCAAAACATCTACAATACAAGATGTGTGGAAGTTAGCTAATATGCTTACAGACATGATTTTAAATTACATAAGACGTTAACTTACTTTAACAGCGTAATCAATTACTCTCTTACAACCAACAAGAACTCTAAACGCCATCTTTGGTCCTAGGACTCCTTGAAAAAGTTCCTACAGGTAAAATTAGTAACAAAAAATGACACATTTTTATTAATTAAACAAAACAATTTATAGCAAAATAATTTTAATATAATATTTAACTAATAACATTTTCTAGATTATTTACAGGAATAATAAACAAGTAATTCTCAAGAAACAATGAGCACGAGAGGTAAAGTATATAGAGATCAATGGGAGCGTGTTTCAAACGTTGCGAAACAGCAAAACTTATTACGTTCTGTTGTCAACACATGTGCAGAGTTTAAAACGTAAAAATTGACATGAATTTGAATAGTACTATAGTAGTAGTAGTATTACTATTAGTACCGGTATTTATTTGGGAAAATTGTATGGTTGTTTTCTAATGACGGCACATGCGTTGCATTGACACGGCCACGTCGGTTCAAGGATAGAGAACAGGGGTCCCAATAAAACCAATGTCATTTACATCAATATAAATATAATATTATATCAATATAATAGGTTAGGGTTATGGTTAGGGTTAGGATTAAAGTTAGGGTTAGGGTTAGGCATATTGGTTTTATTGGGACCCATGTTCTCTATCCATTCCTTGGGCCGCCGGCGTGATTTTTTTTCCTAGGTCAATCAAGAACATAGGGCTGTAGTGAGCGCTGCTATTGGTTGGGCTTGTTTCGTCGCTCAATGACGTCACAGTATTGCCATATACATAGCACATTCAAAATTCAAGTTCATATATGACTCAATAGGGTAGCGATTAGAGCGCCAGCGTCAAGTATGAAAGGTCGGTGGATCGAATCCCATCCGTTTTCTAATGATTTTCCTGTTTTCTGTATTTTCCTATCTTTATTCGTTTAACATTTTTTTCCCAATTAACGCATGATTTATTTACAACATTTTAATAACAACAATTAATTTGTACAACAATTAACAATTAAATTTGTTATATATATATTTTTAAATAGGATTTGGGTTAGAGTTGTAGAGTTACGGTTAGGGTTAGGGTTAGGTCACAATGCAGTGCAATGCCCACCATAAAACAGGAGTTTTGCAGGCACGCTGCATTGTATCACAACCAATTTGGCGAGCGTCTCCTCGCCTAGAGCCCTATGGTTTCGTTGCATGACTTTAGGAAAAAAATACACGCGCCGCCGCCTG